CACACACGCATGCATGCATGCATGCTATTGAACCATTGAAGTGGAAGATATAGAGGTGATAAACGTGCAAGAAATCCAATCAATCTCCTTCTGTCATATTGATTTTTGTATGAAAAAACAACAACCCCAGCAAATCAGATGCTTTCAGTAATACTATAACATGCTAATTTTTAAGATAAATACTGTTTAACACACAATCTTTCTTATAACAGTAATGCCATGCCGGTAGCTTCTGTTTAATTTGCCAAGGTTTTGAAATATCTTCTCTCTGTCAATACAATTTAGTTTGTGGTCAAAAAAGCATTAAAAAAAAAAACCTCCCACTTATCACAGAGATTCCCACACCACGTTTTCATGGATTTCAGCTACCAAAGGTAAATTTAATGTATAAAAAGGCTACAGCTAAACTAGCAATGCTGTATTTTGGCATGCTAACATGCTCACAATGAAATTGTAAATGTTCTCCATCTTTATTTAGCATGTTGAACTTTTGACCTGGTGGAGCCACTAGATGAAAAGTTAAGGGATGACCAAATTCATTACAATTTATCTAGAGGGGAACATAAATGTGTGTACAAATTTCATGGCAATCCATCCAATAGTGGTTAAACCATGCATTCTGATCATAGCAGTGGAACGACCAACAAACCACCCGACAGACCTACACTGCCATCCCTAGAGATAGGCTAAAAACTGCCCACACTCAGGTCATTTTTATCATATGAATGAACCAACCTGAACTGACTTTAGAAAGAAAATGAAAATGACAGCCTCATGTCTTTCTCTCTTTCAGGTGTGTCTCACTGAGTGCGAAGACAACGTCTCCCCATCCTTCTACCGGGACTTCTGTCGTAAGGTGCTGTCGTCGCCAGCTTCCTCCCTTAGCGGTACTGTGCGTAAAAGATCTCAGGAGGAAGTGGAGGCCCTGTTTCCTGTGGATGAGGAGCAGGTGGAGGGAGGTCTGTTGCTGCCCATTGCATTGCAGAGGTTCGATCACGTGGCCCGGGCACTCGGGGTGGGCGAGAGGGATCTGAGTGGCAAGGGCAGCCAGCTGAACACTGCCTACAATTCCCAGGACGACCTATCTCTTGAGGATGAGTATGAGGAAGAGGCAGGGCAGGAAGAAGGGGCTGCTGACGCGGCAGCAAGAGGACAGGGTGATGTGGGGCTAAGTGTCTCCAAGAGGTTTGGCGGCTTCGTCAAAGGGAGGCACGGCTACAGGAAGCTGATGTCTCCAGGAAGATCTTACCAGAAGAGGTATGGTGGCTTCATCGGCATTCGGAAGTCAGCACGTAAGTGGAACAACCAAAAACGTTTCAGCGAGTTCCTGAAGCAGTACCTGGGGATGAGTACTCGGGCCACTGAGTTCAACAGCGTGTCAGAGGACCTCACCCAACAGAACGAAGTTTAGCAGAGTGCACCTTTGTGCCACTGACATCAAACTATTTCCTGATGTATTTTCACTGGTCTTGTTTTGTATCACCAACATGTCAAACCTTAACTGGTGTCACCAAAGTTCTTCTACTGAATAGAAGTGAAGATTCAATAAGTCAATATAGATTCAAAAGTAAAACTAAGCCCGTAAACTCAGACTCCCATTAGAGTCCTCTTAGTCTCAAGACATAAGAATTGTTTATTTTGTTTTCTGTCCCTTCAGTTATGATGCAAACATTTTACCTATAATTATCAGACCTTCTTGTATCCATACTCGACCAGTTTAACCCTTCAGTGGAGTTGGTAGAAGTTTTGGGCCCTTTAGAAACTGCTTTCTCTGAGCTGTGAGACTCCATAATTCCCTGGCATCTTCCAGGCCCCATGTCTAGCTCTGGGCACTCTGAGTCATTAAGACCTCCTATTCGGTGTCCCTTGTGGGTACCAGTTAAACAGTCATGTTTCATTTGATTAGCTCCCCAAGCCCTTATCCTTAGGAGCTTTGAATAAAGCTCTCACTTTGGGGATTCCCGGTAGTCCTGCAGTGATTTGCAGTAAAATATAGCATTTCTTTTACTGTTGACATCTTCTAGATACAAGTTGGCATAATGATTCATTTTCTGATCCCCAGTATGAACACTCTCTTTATTATAGTACCATCTTGTGGCAAAATCCATAACTCAGTCTCTTTTAAAGGACAAAACCAGTGTTTTTCATGTTTTGGCATTATGGTTAGGGTAATGTCAGCAGTAATGTAAAGTATACTGTATGTGATTTGTGGTAAATAAATGAAACATGCAAAAACACAGCTAAAAGTCAATGATTTATCACTGTGCCAAAACACACCTGAGACAGGGCTACTATGGCAGGTTTAATGAAAACAGCTCTCTTTCAATATGGTGCAATGGCGAAGAGAAAGACACAGCACTCAACATTAATATGCTACTGATCTGTCTGTCAAACGGATGTGATGTACAAGTGAGCATCGCCTTTGACTGGCTCTAGTGTTAATTTATGTAAAAAAACAATATTTGCTTTTTTTTGTTTAAACTGTAATGGTGTGAAGTGTTTTTGTTGCCAACTTTGAGAACTTGTAAATAGCTGAATTTAAACATGTCAATAAATATGGTTTACTATTTCCTTCGTGGCTTGTCATGCAGCAACTGATTCTGTGTCTTGAGGTGTTTTGTTCTAGCTATGGGGTGGGTTATTTTAATCCCTTTACTTTTTGGGTTACTTTAAGATATTTTGGAACTACTATGCTTTAGATGAGTTATAAGCCACTGATAAGAACAACATTAGGGATGCCAGGTTGTGGACTACTCCTTTGATTTATTAGGTAATAAAGCAGGTTTAAATGTTAGACTTAGAGAGACTTTGACTTAGACTTCTCTTTATTGATCCTTTTG